AAAGAAATGTGATGGCCCAGCTTGTGTGGCAGACCAGAAACAAAACAGAGAAGAACAAACAGAACAAAGAAATGTGATGGCCCAGCTTGTGTGGCTCAGTGATTGAGCATGAACCTATGAATCAAGAGATGACCAGTTCAATTCCCGGTCAGGACACGTGCCTTGGTTGTGGATTCAATCCCCAGTAGGGGATGTGCAGAAAGCAGCCAATGGATGTTTCTCTCTCATCAATGTTTCTCTCTCCCTTCCTCTCTCTAAAAAAAAAGTTGCGGGCACATCCCCAGTAGGAGATGTGCAGGAGGCAGCTGATCGATGTTTCTAACTCTCTCTCTCCCTTTCTCTCTGTAAAAAATCAATAAAATATATAAAAAAAATGATTAAGAAGCACCTCATGTAGGTGGAAATATGAAACCGGGAAATGAGATGTTTTATCCTTTCCTTTCACCATAAGAACCTAAGTTTCTTCTCTTAGTAGAAGGTTGCCATTCTACAACCTCAGAGGTACAGGCCAAGTAACAGAGAAGAGCCACAAAAAGAAATCCCAAGTTCACTTCTCTGCATCCCCATCTCCATGTCATAGTCCATGACAGCATCATCTCTTAACTGGACCATGAGAAGAGCCCCCGAAAACAGTCTCCCTGTTTCAGACCAGTCTCTGCCAAACAACTCTACAAAGAACACTCAGAGTGACCTTAAAAAATATCCAATCATTTCAGGCCCCTGATTCAACGTTTTCAGTGGCTTCCTATTGATCTTGGCATAAAATCCAATCCCCTCACACTGGCCAATAAGGTCTTGTATCATCTTGTCTGTCTGCTTCTTCAACTTCATCTCCTCCCACCCGACTTGCCATTGCACTTATTCCTTCTCCTTTCCCACTTGCCAGTCATACCCAGGACTTTCTGATGTCAGATGACTAGTTTGTTCTGCCGGGAGGCCCCGTACATGGCTGCTCATGTTGTTGACCTGGTCATTGTCTCTGCCCGCACTGGAACATGAGCTCCATGACAGCAACTGCCTGTCTCTCTTATTTATCACTATTACACCAGCCTCTAGAGCAGCGGTTCTCAACCTGTGGGTCACGATCCCTTTGGGGGTTGAACGACCCTTTCACAGGGGTCGCCTAAGACCATCGGAAAACACATATATAATTACATATTGTTTTTGTGATTAATCACTATGCTTTAATTATGTTCAATTTGTAACAATGAAACTGGGGGTCACCACAACATGAGGAACTGTATTAAAGGGTAGCGGCATTAGGAAGGTTGAGAGCCACTGCTCTAGAGGCATACCTAGCATGTAGTATGTGCCCAATAAACATTTATTGAATAAATAAATTTGTAGTTTTAAAGACTCAAAGTTTCCAGGGTAGAGGTGAAGTGATAGAAGATGAAAAATACTGAACCATTAATTCCATCAGGAGATATCAAAACTTTATGGATGTTAAGATCAGCATTTCCCGTGACCCAACTGAGTTTCAATATGAAATATTCTTATCTATTGTATCAATGTCAGTAAAGAGTATGCTATGCTTTTGCACGATGTTATCATTGAGGGGACTGGATAAAGGCTACATGAGATCTATTATTTCTTACAATTGTATGTGAATCTGCAGTTATCTTAAAATAAAACATTTAATTAAAAAATTCTAAAGGTAAAATAATTTAGTATTTATTCAGCCTGCTTATATAGTACTCACCCCAAAATGTATTCCTCCACAGAATACTCTGTGATGACAGATGCTCACAGACAGAACTTAGGCTAGTTCTGTCTACTACTGAAGGAGTCACCATTTCTGGGAGGCGCTATCTCTTTCCTGGAGCCGAGAACATTAGACTCTGTTCTTAACCTCACACGGCACCTGGCCCATATTCAGTGTTCAATAAATATTTATTCAGTGAGCTAATTATTTCTGAGAAAGCCAAAATGGCATCCAGGTACAGCCTGTGAACTGCCCATCATAGCATTCCAACCTGGCAAGACACCAGCACCAAAGGCAGGTCTATAAATAACTCTGTAAACCACTCACAAAGCATTTAAGATGTCCAAAACGTACAGTTGAACAGTTGATCACATATCTAATCACTCAATTCTCCCATGAATACCGCATTACATAGTAAGGTAGGACAGATAAATACTGTTATACTGTTAATAAAAATCGTTTTTTCTGTTTTTAAGAAAATATATTTCTTTATTGATTTCAGAGAGGAAGGGAAGAGGGAGAGAAAGAAACATAAATGATGAGAGAGAATCATTGATCAGCTGCCTCCTGCACGCCCCCTACTGGGGACCAAACCCGAAACCCGGCATGTGCTCTTGGCTGGAATAGAACCCGGGACCCTTCAGTCTGCAGGCCGGTGCTCTATCCACT